CAGCTGAAGTCTCAGTGCATGACTAAGGCACAAAGTCTCCACCCTCAGAACTCAGTTACAGAAACAAGTCAGAAGGCATTGTATTGTCTTCCTCCTGTGCAGAGAGGTACACCACGCCCTTCCTCATCTCCCCCCTCAAAGCTCTCCATCTCAGGGTGAAGGGCTTCCCAAGGGAATCTTCCAGGCTTGCCCTCTACAACCCTTTCAGCCAGTGGCCTCAGAACCTGTGGCATATTTTTCTTACATGCTCGCACCTGTGGACAAGTGGTTGGGGTGTGTGTGTGTGTGTGTGTGTGTGTGTGTGTGTGTGTGTGTGTGTGGTATCAGACAAGGAAGCAAATGCTGAAGAGGTGAGAATGAAAACCTGGTGCAGATTGACCTTGCCAACCTGGATCAGACTACCATCAGCAAAATTAAAACAATACAGTTAGGGAAAGGTTTCCAGGTAACAATCAGTCCAATTCCAGGTACACAGTAAAGCTTAAGGCGGGTCCACAGAGACACTCCTCTACTATGTACACGTGACCATGAGGGTGGGTTCTCTAGCTAAAAGGGCTACAATGTAATGTGGTTTTTGAGAGCATGGAGGTTATCAGGCTTTAAAGGACTTGGGACATCTGCAGTACAGATGGTCTAGGGAGGGAAGAGGGATAATCAGTTGGGGAAATTCGGGTGAGGTCAGCCTCCACAGGTAGCAGACAGTCACCAGGTCATTAACAAAATCCACTGAGCCCTCTGAGCAGGAAAACAGGTGTTTATCTCTTCCATTAAAGAGAGGTCCCTGTGTGTTTAATTCCTGGTCCCCTAGTGCTCTGTGGGTTTTTTGTTTGTTTGTTTGTTTTTGAGACAGGGTGTCTCTGTATTGTTTTGGAGCCTGTCCTGGAACTAGCTCTGAAGACCAAGCTGGCCTCGAACTCACAAGAGATATGCCTGCCTCTGCCTCCAGAGTGCTGGGATTAAAGGTGTGAGCCACCAATGCCCAGCCCCCACTTTAATTTTTTTATTATGTTTGTTTAATGTGTGTGTATGTACAGGCATGCATGAGGAGGTCAGAAGACAATTTTCTGTTCCCACTGTGTGGGTCCTCAGGCTTTGTTCAGCAGACCCTTTTATCTGCTAAGATTTCTCCCTTGTCCTAAATGGCCATGTGAAACAAATAATGAAGTAGGACAAATGAATGATTTCATATAAGCAGCAGCTAAGGAAGAATGGAAGGACTTGGAAGCATTAATATTATACAAATTGGAAGCCAGGTGTGGTGACCACGCCTTTAATCACAGCACTTGGGAAGCAGAGGCACGTGGATCTCTGTGAGTTCCAGGCCAACCTGGTTTTGAGTTCCAGGACATCCAGGACTACTTGGAGAGACCCTGTCTCAAATACCAGACCTCCTCATGAAAAGAATATGTAATAGAGCTTTAAGAAACCAGTAATTGGCTGGGCGTTGGTGATACATGCCTTTAGTTCCAGCACTCGGGAGGCAGAGGCAGGCTGATCTCTTGAGTTCGGGCCAGCCTGGTCTACAAGAGCTAGTGCCAGGACAGGCTCCCAAGCCACAGAGAAACCCTGTCTCAACACCCCCCCCCCCAAAAAAAAGAAACCAGTAATTGAGCTGGCCATGGGAGTATATTATGAGACTTAGCTGCTCACTGTGAACATTAGTACAACTTCCCTATGTGGAGAGTGTTCCCCTCACACTCTTGGAGATGGGGGCTCTGAAGAATATTGAAGGTGGAATGGGGAGGTAGCTCACTGGGAAAAATGCCTGCTGCACAAATTTGAGGTCTGGAGTTTAGATAATGCTAAAAGCTAGGTGGGATGGTAGTTCCTGTAATCCCAGGGCAGGGCGGGGTGGGGAGGAGCCAGGTGACCCTCAGGACTTGCTAGCCAGCCAGTCTAGTTGAAAGATATCCCAGATGCAATGAGAAACCCTGTCTCAAGATACCTGGAAACGACAGAGAAGACACCAAAGTGGATCTCTGCCTTCCACATACTCACACTGGTGTATCCCTCACATTTTTGAATACTGCAGCAAACACACACTGGAAGGTAGAAGATAAATCAGGATTTATTAGGGAGACTGATGGTGGAAGGGGCTCAATTAAAAAGGTCCAGCTCTTCCCTCAAGCTTTCTGCCCTGATGTAGCGGACCTCCGCACCCAGCCGATGGTCTAGACGAAGATCCTCCTGTACTGTGTTTGAGTATCAATCTCAACTGCCATCAGTACCTTCACAGGTACACTCAGAAACAATTCTAGACACATGACCAAGGCAATATAGAAGAGTGTCTTTGGGCTCCCAGTTTCAGACGGTGAGTCCACGACCATCATAGTAGGGGTCATGGCAGCAGCCAGGCAAGTCACGGCTCTGGAGCAGTTGCTGAGAGCTCACAGCCTGAGACACAAACACAAGGCAGGAGAAGCACTGGCAAAAGGTGTGGGCTTTTAAACCATGAAGCCTGCCCCCAGTGACACACCTCCTCCAAAGAGGCCACACCTGCTACCTGTCCCTAAAGGTTCCACCAATTGGGGATCAAGCATTCAAACATTTGAGCCTATGGGGGCCATTCTCATTCAAGCCACCACCCCCAGTTTCTAAGCATTCTTTAGTCTAGTGAGCTGGAGGCACTTAAGAGAAAGGCTGCGGTGGAGTCCGCCTAGGAAGAAGCTCACATCAGCACTGGGGCGGGGCCTGCAGTTGCCCAAACCTAAGACCTTTGACAACAATAGAAGCTTGAGAGGGGCAAACAGAACAGAGGGCGTGGAGGGGAGCCTGGCCATGCCTTACAGACTTCTTGATTGCAATTTTCTGGCTTCCATTAAGGTAAAAACTCCAGGACTGATCGGTTAAGGCAGAGGAGGCCTGCCTGCAGGAAGGGAAGGAGGTTCCTGGGAGGTAAAGCAAGCACTGAGCCTCTCCTTCCTAAGGTCTGACAAAGCGAGCTTGTATCTTTTTGGAGGGTTTCCAGGGCTCAGGTGAGAAGGAACACTGCCCTTGTAGCAGTTTTCTGGTTTCAGGATACAGCTTTGTTTACAGAGCCATTCCTAAACAAAACCCCAACCCAAAGCCACTTCACAAGTTTGGTTGTGTATACTCAGCACCAGGTTGTGTAAACAGAAACAGGGGCTGCCTGTATGTTTCCTCTGTAGAAGCATCCCTTCTTCCTTTTGGTTGGAAGAAAAAGGGCTAAGCATTTCCCCTGGAAAGCATGAAAGGAGCTAGTCAATCCTACATTGTGAGCTAAATATAGACACCACACATGTACACACACTTATTTCTGCACATAGATGTTTCTTTTTGTGCTTTTGGGACAGGGGTCTCAGATAGCCCATGCTGGCCTTGAACTCCTGGTCGTCTTGTCTCATTCCCCAAGTGCTGGGATTACAGGTTTTTCTCATCTTGCCTGGTAGATGCTCCTTAAAAAACAACAAGGTTGTCTCTGTAGCCTTGGAGCCTGTCCTGGAACTTGCTCTGTAGACCAAGCTGGCCTTGAACTCACAGAGATCCACCTGCCTACTAGAATTAAAGGCATGTGCCACCACTGCCCGGAACAATTTTTAAAAATAATTCATTTATTTTATGTGCATTGGTGTTTTGCCTGCATGTATGTCTGTCTGTGTGAGGGTGTCAGATGTTGTAGTTATAGACGTGTGGGTGCTGGGAATTGAACCCATATCTTCTGGAAGAGCAGTCAGTGCTCTTAATCATTGAGCCGTCTCTCCAGCCCACACAATTTTTTAAAATTGTGTTTTATTTATCGTGTGTGTGTGTGTGTGTGTGTGTGTGTGTGTGTGTGTGTGTGTGTTATGCCACTGAGCACCTATGGTCAGGGGATAAATTGATTCTGCACTTACACCATAGGGGTCCAAAGACTGACAGTTTACATCGAGTGGCAGCAGGTACCACTGGGTCCAGAGGCTACAGTTTGAGAATAAGTTCCTACCACCTTTTCCTTCACAACTTCCTACTGGGGAGAGTGTGGGCAACTGGCAGGAGGTACAAAGAGAGGAGCTTCCTTCTACCTCCAGGTTCCCTGGGGGTGAGGACAGCTTTTTCTGAAACGTTTGCTGTTAACATGTTCCATTCAGTTTGCTTATCTGCCCCCCCCCCTTTCCAACTCCAAAAACATTTCCTGATTGTCAACTGTAAAACGAGTTTAGCCCTACTAAGAATTTAGAGCCTATTCAGTGACGGTCTGGACCCTCGGGAGTTTGCTCACAACTGTTCTGAGTCCCTTCTCAGGTTTTTCTTAAAACTGATTGAGCTGCAGTGGAATACACGTGCAGGATTTTTTTGTTCTTTGTTCTAGTAAGGGCTAGCTCCATAGCGGCGTGGGATGTGGATCCCCGGGAAACTCGTGGCGGTTGGGTGAAGGTTAGCATTTGCACAGCATTTTCTGCAGTCTGTGCCCCGAGTGTGGGTGTATGCAAGGGAAACTTCCACTGAAATCTCCTCCAGGGAGGGGAGTGACCACAGCCCAGCTCCCTGCCCGCCTTTTAAAAAGGGGGACCTGGTTATTTAGCCCTAGGCGGACTATTGGAACAGCCCAGACCCTTCTCCTCTCCAGTCTCAGATTTCCGAGTACAAGTGTTGGACTTACAGTCCTGCAACACTGCCACTCTGGTCTTCTGGGTCTATTCTGTGCCAGGGAGATGTTGGCAGGGTGGTTGAGGCGACTGTGGAGAGAGAACAAGTGAGTGAGCGACTGAGCGAGCTTTCTCCTTCTCTGTGTTAGATTCAACCCTGAGGCTGGCCAGGGCAAGGAAGGAGGTGTAGGGGAGTCAGGAGCGGCGCTGTGTGACTGCTCACCCTTGCACTGCAGTCTCCTCCTCCCGAAAGCCCTTCCCTGGCGGTTGTTTTGCACTTTCACAAAACAAGATATTCCGCAGCGTCCTGGAGACGTCAGGGGCCCATTCTGTGCGTGAAGATGCAAAGTCTGTTCCCGAAAAGGACCTTCGCTGGGAGTGCAGGGCACGGGGGTGGGGGGAGAGGCGGGGCAGAGGGCGGTGGCTCACCCAGGCAGCGGTGCCCCCGGGACCCAGTCGTGCCAGGGAGCTCCCCGTTGGGTGGTGAGGGGGGTGGGGCAAGGGCAGAGTGCAGTAAAAGGGCTCCCCGGCACCCGAAAGCAAGCAAGCCATCGGCTACCCGCATAGCTCGTATCCCACGCAGAGGTGCAGGGAACCTGCAGGGATCCTCACTGCCCGAGGGCCTGGGTGAGTCACCAAAGGGCTGTCGCAATCGCTACCCGGAGGAAATCAGGCGCGGGGTGGGGCGCGTTCCTGGTTGCCTTCGTGAGCTCTGACCGCACCAGAGTGTCCCCAAGATCGCCGCCAGCTGGGTCTTCTGGTCTGCTCCCGCCGCGGTGGCCACAGCTTGGGCCTGGGCCTCTCGTGGAGAGTTAGCCTCCGGGGATAGCAGGGACCCAAGAGGAGGAGGGAAGGAGATCGCTGCAGTTCTGAGAGTTCTCCTTCTCCCCTTTGCCCGGCAGAGGTGAAGGGACCGAAGCGGGCGGCTCTAAGTCGCCGGAGCCGGCTCCGGGTCGGTGCGGCGCTGTGTTTTCGGAGCTGCGCGGGACTGCCTGGGACTTGTGTATCCCTCTACCGCCCTCGCTCGGATCTCCTGGGGACCCCTCCCGGAGGGCGTGCCGGAGCCATGGAGGGCGCAGATCTGGCGGTGAAGCTCCTGTCCACCTGGCTGACGCTGGTGGTCGGCCTCATCGTGCTGCCCTCGGCCTTTGGATTGTCGCTAGGCATCTCGGAGATCTACATGAAGATCCTGGTGAAAACCTTGGAGGTGAGTGCTGGGGGAGGATGCCAAGCCTCAGCTGCTCTGAGAAGTTAGGGAGCAGGCAGCGCCTGAACATAGAACTATGAGAGTCGTGTGAGTCGTGTGGTGTGGTGTGGTGTGGTGTGTGTGTGTGTGTGTGTGTGGAGAGAGAGAGAGAGAGAGAGAGAGAGAGAGAGAGAGAGAGAGAGAGAGAGAGAGAGAGAGGAGCTGCACTGATCCCAGCTGAGAACACCAGTCCACCTCATAGGAGCACAGGAACCCTTCCACTTGGGTTCTGTCATCGTTACTATTTTTTACTTACTAGACAGCCGTTTGCTGCATCAGCAGATTTATTACACACGATGCCTCCTCACAAGCTGTCACTTCCCTCTTGAGTTTTTACAGTCCCAGGTTTCAGAGGTCCTTTGGCTTCTACAGATGCACCACATTCCACTTCGTGCCTAAGATAAGAAACCAATGGCCAGGTGCCAGAAAAAGAATCTGATTTTATTTTAGTGGCATCATGTGGGATTTTTTTTTTTTTTTAAATCTAACTAGGGACACTGGAATGCCATCGTAAAGGTTCTCCTTTGGCCTCAGCTTGGCTTTGGGTTTGTTTCCAAATTCCACAGACAAGGGTATTAGGACAGGCTACAGCTGGAGTTTATATGTACGGGTCTTTAGTAAAACTCAGGAGGACTTTCCATGCAGGGAGGCAAGTGCTTTGGGGTGCAGAGCTGAAAGGTTTGTTTGAATTAAGTGTACAAACAGCAGTGGTCAGATTCGCCTAGAAAAACAAAACAAAAATTTGCTGGGCACATTGGTGGTGCAAGCCTTTAATCCCAGGACCCGGGAGGTAGAGGCAGGCCTATCTCTGTGAGTTCGAGGCCAGCCTGGTCTACAGAGCGCATTCCAGGACAGGTTCCAAAGCAATACAGAGAAATCCCGTCTTGAAAAACAGATTCACCTAGCTTTGGTACATAACTCTCATCCCTGTTTCTCTGCATCTGATCTAGCAAGGTCATCTGACTGCTTTATTGTATTCATCTAGCAAATAGAAGTACCAACACCTATTTGCATATCATTTTCATCTGTTTGTTTTGGTTTTAAGACAGGATGTCACTCTTGGAGCCCCAGCTGGTTTTGAAATTTTCCACAATCCATTTACCTCAAGCTCCCAAGTTCTGTCTGACTTTACAGACAGGAGGCATCACACTCGACTTTCCACATAATTGTTTTTAAGAGTGAAAAAACATCAGGACACTGAGCCCTCTGCAAGGTGTCCATGTGTGTTAGGTGCTGTGTGTTTAATGATTCAATGAATAGTAGTATGGTTGCTTAGAGTCCCTGTCTTTGACTCCCCGGCTTTTCTATTACCACCTACAGCTGTGCATTATTTTTGGCCATACTTTTTGTCCTCCCATAGGACTTGGCCCTGCCCCTTCTTCTTTCATAGTAAAGGGGAGGCTCATATATGTTGTATCTATCTATCTATCTGTCTGTCTATCTATCTATCTATCTATCTATCTATCTATCTATCCATCCATCCATCATCCATCCATCCATCCTACCGCTGCCTGCTAAGGCTTTTCTCTGGATTCTTGTTGGACTTTCTCTTTGTGGCTATTTCCTTGATGTATCCTTGAAGCTATATTAGATTCTTTATTGCCAGTCTGCCCATTCTTTTCTCCACCCCCGCCCCATGATGTCATCTCACTATGTAGCTCAAACTGGCCTTGAACTCTGGATCCTGCTACCTCAGGCTTCCAAGCACTGACATAGGATGTGTGCCCCATCTTGCCAGCCAACTCTTCAGATTTTCCTCTGTTCTTTCTTCTCATCATCATGACTCAGTGTTGTCACACATGTTCTGGATTTTAGTTTCCTTCCTCTGTGAGCCGTTCTAGCATGCTCACTCCATAAGCAGCAGCTGACCCTCTCCAGCCCTGTCCTGAAGTGACTGAGCAGGTTTCCTGGGCACTGGAGAACTAGATAAGGGGATCACACACACTGGCTTCTAGGTGCTTATTACTGCCTCTCTTGCTTTAATCTTTCTGGACAGCTAAAGATATGGCAAGGAGGGAGTTTCCACCTCAGTGCTGGTGTTCTCAGCTGGCAAGTGACTATATTTGATGAGATGTTTGTGAATCCAGGCCTTTTCAGTTTGTTTGACAGGGCCCCGAGTTTCCTATCTAGAGCAGAAAGAAACTTCAGAGATGGTCTCTCTCTCCACGTGTGTATGAGTTTAAACCCAAGCAATACACACACACCTCCCCCTCACAGCACACATACCACACACACCACACCATACCACATATACACACCATGTACATACACACCACACACATACACCCAACTCTACTACACACACACAACATACCCAACACACATACCACACAACATGTACACCATGCACACACACTATCTACACACACACACACACTCTATAGCCAAAGCTAGCCTGGAAATCAGGACTTGGTGTGGGCCAATCTGACATCTGAACTGACTTCAATCTGTCTTGGCCTCCTGAGTTCATACTTAGAAATCCTGATGTGAGCTTCTACATGTAGAGTTAGAGGCACGTTTCTTGATGATTGGGGGATTTTGTTTTCAAAAGAGGTCTATTTCCTATCTATCTATCTATCTATCTATCTATCTATCTATCTATCTATCTAATTAATTATTAATTTCTTGAGACAGGGTTTATCTGTATTGCTTTGGAGCCTGTCCTGGAACTTGCTCTCTAGACCAGGCTGACCTTGAACTCACAGAGTTCTTCTGCCTACCTCTGCCTCCCTAATGCTGGGATTAAAGGCACGCACCACCAACACCTGGCTGGAGCTAGTGAAGCTCTCTACCCACTAAGCTACATCTCCAGAACTTTTTATTTTTTATTTTATTTTCTAGACAGGGTTTCTCTGTGTAGCTTTGGAGCCTGTCCTAGAACTCACTCTGTAGATCAGGCTGGCCTTGAACCCACAGAGATCTGCCTGCCTCTGCCTCCTGAGTGCTGGGTCTAAAGGTGTGCACCACCACCTGCAGAATTGTTATTATTAGGGCTGGAGAGGTGGCTCAGAGGACCTGGGTTCTATGCCAATACTCACATGATCTGTAACCCTAGCTCCAAGTGGCTGCAATGTTCTCTTCAAGTGGCTGCAATGTTCTGTTCAGGCCTCCTTGGCACTGTAACTATGTAGTGAACAGGCTACATGCAGGCAAAGCAGCCATACATATAAAATAAATGAGTCAAAAAATTAAAAAGAAAGAATTATAATTTTTTTGAAACAGGTTCTAAGAATTGTCATTTTAATTGTTACATGTTCTGTTTAATACATGGAATGTGTACATGTATACATGTGTATTTATATGCATGAAAGTAGAAAAGTCTAACTGGGGAAGAAGGTAGTGGGAGAGGGTTGAGCCACACAGGTCAGGATCCTGGTGAAATGGCACTTGTTACCAAGCCTGATGACCTGCGTTTGATCCCTGGAACCCACATGGTGGGGTAGAGAAGTGACCTTGGCAAATTGTCCTCTGACCTCCATGTGTGCTGAACTGTACACACCCTCAGATTTTCTAGTAACCATTGCATTCTCTGTGGACCGTCATTTGATATCTCCTTTCCCTCCCTTGTTAAATAGGACAGGATCCTCTTGCAGTGTGGCATTAAGGTAGTGATAGGTAGCACTGAGTATTCTTGCTTTGATCTTTTCCTTTAAAGAAATTACTTCTCATTTTAAAAATTGTTATTTATTGTATTATATTATTATTCTTTATAACATATATATCATTATGTACTATATATAACTATCTATATCATTTACATGCTACAAATATATACTTATTAAATTATTATTTTTATATAGTTACTATTATTGTTTATAAATGTTTGTTTTCATTTAAATGGGGTGGTTATAAATGGTTATGATCACAGTCAATCTCTTTAAAGGAAGAAAGGGGAATGGGATATAGAAATGAATACTCTATATTGGAATGGATTTTCATTTATTGATACAAATTTAAGGTCAATTTTGTGATAAGTGTATTTCTCCTCTTTTTTTTTAGATTTTATTTATTTATTATATATTGTGTTCCATCTGCGTGTATCCCTGAAGCCCAGAAGAGGGCACCAGGTCTCATTATGGGTGGTTGTGAGCCATCATATGGTTGCTGGGAATTGAACTCAGGACCTCTGGAAGGGCAGCCAGTGCTCTTAACCTCTGAGCCATCTCTCCAGCCCATTTCTCCTCTTGTTTAAGTATTGTATTCATAGAGCTCATTTAAAAATGTAATGTATAATTAAAGTACATTTTGATTTGGGCAAACTGGTTCCTGCTGGTCGGGGTTGCTGCTTCACGTTTATCTAACAGGAGTGTAGGTTAAACAGCCTGCTGCTCTCACCCCTCCAAGTTAATTGCAAGGTTAGTGATTAAGGGGAGAGTAGGGAGGGATTGCTTTTCCATGGTCTGAGGTTTATGAGTGGACAGGAAGGAGGAACAGGAAGGGATTGTACAACTATTGACAGGAAGAAAGCGAGGGCTGTGGATACAGCTCATAGAGTGCCTGTCGTGGGTTCTTTTGCCAACCCTGAAAGAAAGGGACTTGTTAGATACAAATTTTTCTTCTTCTTCTTCTTCGGATAATGCAGGTATAAGATGGGGGGAAGGACAAGTTCTCCCATGTTCCTGGCTCTGTGGTCTCTGGTGGGTCACTGTGTCACAGCTTCGGTTTCTGCAAGTACAGGTCCAATATCCTATCGGATTACTCTGAGGGCTTAAGTAGGAGAGGGAATGAAGGTGCTCGACACACAGCTGGTGCTGAGCTTTAGTGGCATTTAGGTTGGGACAGTATGACACTGTGCTATCTGCTCACAGGAGACTAAGTTCTAACACATTCACTTTGATGTTGAACACCTCTCAGCTGATCCCTTTTGCCTGTTGTGTCTTCCAGCATCTCTACTCTCTCTTCCATCCATAGTTCCCAGGAGGCTATTACCAAGTTTGTGTGAGAGACGTCTCTCTCGTGTT